ACTCCTTGGAGGCAAGGATTCTGGGGCTTCGTCTGACATACTTTGGGCATGTTTCCAGGAACGACGGGTCCTTAGAGAGGGACATCATGCTTGGGAGGGTGGAGGGACGGCGCAAGAGGGGAAGACCTTCTATGAGATGGACTGATTCAGTGACTGGGGTAATCGGGATGGGTGTGTCAGACGCAGTGGGATTGGCACAGGATAGAGCAGGGTTTAGGGCTGTTGTACATAGGGTCACTATGAGTCGCAAACAACTTGAGGGCACATAACAACAACAACAGTAGATGTTTCAATGGTTTAGTTTCCTGAAGACACCAATAACAACTTTGGCTTATCTTGATATCCTTGCTGTCAGTTGCTTCCTTTATCTTTCTTTGAAATTGGATGCATTGGAATCAGTGTTGAGAAGAGCAAAGACGTGTTTTAATTAATACTTCCCATGGAAGCGTCATCGATTGGAGGGAGCCTTGTTGGTTCCACTTGTCAGCATAGAAACATTAAAAATTTAAGTTAGAGTAAGGAAGGTAATTGATTTATAACTGCTCATGCTAATAACACTATATCATGGCATGGAGGAGCAACAGTGGAACTGTATCCAAATTTAAAGTATTTTCCTAACCAAAAACATTTATGAAAAATAGGAACTGCATTGAAATATGTTAACTCTTTAGACGGGAAATTATTTGTGCAATCATATTGATAATATTACTAGCCTTAAACTTAAAAGATTATATTGTTTAAAATTATTTTCTATATAGAAGATATTTTTATAAAAAACATATTTGCAATGAATAAATCACTGATTGTACATAATTCTATCACTCTAGCTCCAGCTTCATTTCTGTCACCAAGTCCATATTTTCCAACTATTGATCCTTCTTCTCTGTTCCTAACTTGCATTCCAGCCACTCATTAATGCATATTGATTACATATTCGATTAATCGCTTACTGCAAAAGTTGGTAGAAATCTTCTATTTCATCATTTGGCTCTGGTTGTTGATGCATATATCTGAATGATAGTGTTATTCACTGGACTTCCTTGTAAACATATGGATATTATCCTATTGCTCACAATATTGTATTTCAAGACGGATCTAGAAATGACTTTTTTAACTATGAAAGCAACCCATTTTTCCTCACCTTTTCATCTCCAGCATAGTAGATTGTCTGATTCAAAATGCCCCATGCCAGTCCATCTCATCTCGCCAATACCTAGTATATCAATATTATGTGTGCCGTTTCTTCCTCAACAATATATTTTTCTACTTTTATGGTTCTCAAATTCCATGTTCCAGTCACTAGTATCTGTTTACAACTGTTCCTTCTCCTTTATGTTTTCATACTTGAAAGTTCCACCTCAGTGATCATGCTTATATGAAACCTATACTTGGACCAGGAGGCAGTCGTCAGAACAGAGCAAGGAAACACTGCACGGTTCAAAATTGGGAAGGATGTATGCTAGGGATGTGTCCATGTGTCCAGGAATGTGTGTGATATCCATAACATTTCAATCTATATGCAGAACAGATTATCCAGGAGGCAGGGCTCTATGAGGAGAAATGTGGCATCAGGATTGAAGAAAGACTCATCAACAATCTGCATTATGCAGATGAGACAACCCTGCTTGCTGAAACTGAGGAGGACCTGAAGTGCTTGCTGCAGAAGGTCAAGGAATGCAGCTTTCAATATGTATTGAAGCTCAGTAAGAAGGAAACAAAGATTCTCACCACTGGACCAACTGGCAGCCTAATGATGGATGGTGAGGAGATTAAGATTGTAAACAGCTTTAGTTCGCTTGGCTCCACAATCAACACTCTTGCTACAAGTAAGTAGGAAATTAAAAAACGTATAGCATCTGCTGTTAGAGACCTCTCGTGCTAAAGAGCAATGATGTCCATCTTGAGACTAAAGTGGACCAGATACAGTCCACAGTCTTTGCAATCACTTGCTATGCGTCAGAGAGCTGAACAATGACTAGGGATGATAGGAGAATGGATGCCTTTTAGCTGTGGTGCTGGAGAAGAGTACTGAATGGGCTGCTAAGAGAAAAAACAGGTTCGTCTCCTAGAGATAGTTAAACCAGGATGCTCCTTAGAGGCAAGGATTCTGAAGCTTCATGTGACATATACTTTGGGCACGTTGTAAGAATGGACCATTCCTTGGAGAGGGATGTCATGCTTGGGCGGGTGCAGGGACAGCGCAGGAGCAGAAGACCCTTGATGAGATGGACTGATTCAGTGACTGGAGTAATGGGAGTAGGTGTGCCAGAGATTGTGTAAGATTGGCACAAGATAGAGCAGGGTTTAACGCTAACGAATACAGGGTGGCTATGAGTCACAGGCAACTCAATGGCACGTAACAACAATGATAACATGCTCCCTACTGATCCCCAACTAGGGTATTACCCAGCACAGCAGAGTCAGGCCCCTCCCAGGGCTCTATGCCATCCTTCCTTGAAAATCCCTTCTAGGACACACAAACAGCACACCTGAGTCTGAGAATATCAGTCAGAATCCAGTTTCATATGGCAATTTCTCCCCACTCTAGTACTTAACGTTTTAGGTAAATTTAAGAAGCTCTTCCTCCTTCCTCTCTCCCAGGAAATTTACAATGCCCAAGGGATGAGCGGATATGGAATAGTCTGCAAGAGAGAATACCTCTGTTATCTCCTGAGGCAGGCAATCTGCACAGCCTTGAAGGACCTTTATAATCTTCTGGTGATGTGATGGGTTCTCTGCAAAGCAAATCTCCAGCTGCCGAAGAAACTTGCGACTCTTCTCAAAAGCCTGCTGTTCCTCAAACTACAAGGGAAAGATGGCAAAAGAGGAATTATGCAGAGCTACAGCAGAATTTAAGAGCTCTAAGGGTAAGTGATATATCATTGCAAAGAGGATCTGGCAGGAGGGGAGGAGAGGTTAAGTAATTGTGTGACAATGAATTTTTTTTTAAGTGGGGGAGGGGGAGGGGAGGGCAAGGGGGTAAAGTGCAACAATGAAAGAATGAAAATCTAACTTCTCCGTAAATGTTCATTAAAATAAATATTAAAATAAAATTCTATGAAAAAGACTTAAGAACAAGGGGCTGGAGGCAGAGGGGAGGAATAAATGTGGGAGGGGAATAAAGTTCTAATTTCTAACTATGAGAAAGGCCGTATCAATAAGCCCCTGAGGGCAAACCACCCAAGGTAAAAAATGAATAAAAGAAGGATTTAGCAAGAAGTACCCCTTATCAAATTGTTTACAGATTATGAAATTAGACACTCTAACTAATGACATTTCATAGTTTACAAAGAATTTCACTTGACCCTTGTATTATAAGATTAGCATAATGTGCACCATCATCTGTATCATTAAACTGCCTCCAGACTATTAGAAAAATATCCTTATCCCCGTCACTCCTATACTGTCATGTCAAAGAGCCCAGGATTACCACGATTATCCCTCATGTTGAGTCTCCAACATATCAAACATCATCTTATCACAGAAGCCTTCCACAGTGAATTTCTCTACTAAAGCAAAGGCCATACATCTCAAACCTACCTTCTTCACTGAACTGTAAAGAAGACATTTCTTAATTCCACAAGTAAATAAAACATGAAGAAGATGGTTCTAACAGCTTGGGCTGGGGAAAGGCTTTCGGTCTGCAAACAGTCTAGAGACTCAGAATTTGACTGGACCTCATCAAATCCTAGTTGTGCTCTGACCCAGAAAGCCACATCTACTTACTAATCCACAGGCCAGAGCTTGCTCAGGCAAAAGAAAAGCAGCAAAGTCCTTCAACAGCTGAGGCCAATCCTGGAGCAGAGTTCGAAGGCTTTTGTAGAGGTCCACAGCTGTCTGGCTCTGAGTACTTGATTCAAATTCATAGATAGCCTGAAGGAAATCCTCATATTTGCCAGGAATGTGCTGTAGGGCTTCTCGTACCTATACAAGAAGACTGGGAATCATCCGTGTTCTTTCTTAGGACCCACCAGGAAACAAAACTATAGGGGAATAAGGAAGGGTCATTAGGAGACAACTCCAAGAGCTACCTCTCTAAATTGACCCTAACACATGATTATTAACGGAAGACGCAGAATAAGGAGAAAGACAGAAGCTCCTCTGTGAGTTGGCAAGTGGAAAACATTCCATTTTTTAGGGACCACAGTCCTATGAACAAAACAAGGGAATGTTTTTCTCAAGGTCACAACTCTCCTCTGTAGTTCATAACATTTGAGGCGGATAGATACTTTATGAATTAGAAATGTTAGTAAAATATTAGGACATAAGAAAAAGTCATGACTCCCTCTGCTAGTACTCTACTTGGCTGGGGGTCAGTGTGGGGTGGAGAGTAAAGGAGCCAGCCAGTTACCAAGACTATGAGACAACTAACCAGAACAGGGTAGTGATGTGTCTCTAAAGAATACAGTCCTTCCTTGAGATTCACCCTGACCAATGTGCCAAATGTCTTTCTCTAGCCAACAGTCCAACTAATGCCCCATGCAGTGAAGTCAGAGTTTGCTACTGACGATGGTGTCAGCCTTTGCCAATCTAAGTGACAGAAGGGTGATGCCAGAGTATTAACAATAAGTGTTATTTGTGATGTGACTGATGTGATGTGAGGCCTGAACTCTGTGTCTCCTTCAAGCTCTCTCACAAATTCTGTGCTAACTCCAAGAGATGTAAAGCCTGCTGAAGAGCCTAAAAAAGCAACACTGTCTTTAAACCATCTCCCTTGAGGGAGATACACCCTCATCTGTAAGGACAGACAGTAACAGGAATCAGCATTTGCCTACCCTGGTCAGATATGCCTGGGCAAAGGCCAAATCCTTCTGCTCCCTGAGTGGATCTCGCTCTAGAATGTCCTCATCATACAGCAAAAGCAGCTTGGAGGTGTCCTTGCTGGCCCGGGCTCGAGTCCCCCGTTTGCTGCGAGCTCGATGATTGTTCCGGCCCTTTCCGGCAGCTTTGATGCTCTCTTCTTGGAATACATGTGAAAACACATTAGCTCTCTCTCCCAGCAACTCCTCCCATCCCAACACATACACTCACTGCAACCAACTACACCCTACTATGCTATGGAGGAACTCAGAATAAAAGCTGTTGGGAAAATAGTATGAAGTGTGTTAATTTCAGCTAATGCATCCCCTGTACAGGAGAACATGCACATTCATGAAATTCATAAAAATTACAAATTTTTAATCTGAGCATTTTCTTAATACTCAAGTTTGGAGAAGAGAGTTGGGAACATCATGTATACCAGGCTTTTAATAATTAATAAAAGTTGCCAAAACCAAAAAAACGTTCAAGGCAAATCTGTTTCTGTTAGGTCAGACTCTAATCAGAGGCTATAGGATAACTGTGTTACTGGGCATGACAATGAGATAATCAGTGAGGCACATGGAGAAGCAGGTGAACAGAATGGGCCTGGCCTCCAGTTGGGCTGTCTCGGGACTGTCTTAGGTGAGAACAAGTAGTGTTTGTGCTTTGAGAAATAATGTCTCTCTTAATCTCATGGATGATGTGAATATTTTTAATAAACAAAATCTCACCAAAAAGAAAATTGCAAATTTGTCTTTAAAAAGTACAGACAAAACTTATAAAGTATAAAAACTTAAATGAACCTGGCAGCTGATGGAAATAAAATTTAACATTTCTGAGCAGCCTTTCTCTACAAAGGTAAGCACGTATATGGAGGACGGGAGATTACAGAGGAGATCCAGAGGATTTCCTCTGACAATCCCTCATGCTGGTTTGCAAGCTGGCCGTCCTGCACACTGTCCTCTAGATAATGAAGCAGTATCAACCTGTCCCATATGAATGACTTGCTAACCCACCTGGGGGGGTCCTTCGGGTCTCCACCTCTGGAGCAGTCTTTGGCAAGGTAAAATTGGAAGGGGGTTTCTCTGCAGTATCTCCAACTGCTTCATCGGCCATTTCATCTTCCTTCTGCAGGCTTTCTATTCCTTCTGTTTCCTCCTCTTCTTCTTCTTCCTGCTCAGAGTTCTCCTCCTGGGAGTTCTCTTCCTCAGACTCCCCCTCCTGACTCATACGCCGTTCCGATGCAAGCCAAGTCAGTTTCTCCATTGTTTCCTGCAAAACTCCCAAAATGTGTAGGGAATAACTCTGTCAGTGCCAAGTGTTTTATCAGAAGAAACCAAGGATAAATGTGGGGGAGTCCAAGAACACGAGTTATGGAATCAGTGGGACAGAGGAGAGGACAACAGGAGGTGGAGAAGATAGCTGTTCTTAAAAGCTCTCCTCTAACCTGGAAAAGAGTTTTCTCTTATCAAGACTCATGTATGAACCACAGTTTTAGGCATTTGTTGTTGTTGTTTATTATTTCTTATGCATGTACCATCAAATCAGATCTGACTGGTACAGGAGGAGATTGTCCCTCCTTCTCCAGCAGAGCATCTGGAGTTTTAGGCATTTAAAATGTGCTCTGGTTATTAAATTTCTATTTTAAACGTGTTTAAGTAAAACATATGAGGATGTAAAATTCATCCTTTCCCACTCTTCTACTCTCAGCATGAAAATTACATTCTATAATGTATTCAAAAGTCAAATAAAACAACTTTAATATTGTGGGTAAGGAGTTGTGCTGCCAACCCAAAGGTCCAAATCCACCAGCTGCTCTGTGGGAGGAGGGGCAATCTCCTACTCAATTTGCACTCTCTGAAAACCCTCTTGGAGGGTCAGTTGGTTCTGACTCCCCAGCAATGACTGACTGATAAGGCAACAGACCTGAAATGAAACCTACTGCCGACTCTACAAAGAAATCTACTCTCATCTCACCTGGAGTTCTGGGACAGAAAGCACAGACTCCTCAGAGGCTGATGACATCTCATCTTCCTCATCTTGAGTGAGATCATCAAAGTCTTCCTCTTCCTCTTCCTCTGGCCCATCCTTCTCTCCTGCAGTTTCTTGACCAGCTGGTGTCCCCACTGACTGACAATCAACACTGGATGAGTCTTCAGTCTTTCCTGGGGGACTATTAAGTACCATTTCAGGATCAGTGGAGGATGAAGCTGTCGTTGCAGATTCTTTGCTCACATTTGTTCCTGAAATCCCTTCATCAGGAGACTGCTGAGAAGCTGAAGAGGTTTTGGTTGGCTGATTCTTCTCCTCCTTTTGTGAGACTGTCTGTTTCCTCACCTCTCTAGCACCACTTGACCCATTATTTGGGGAGCTAGTGTCCAATTCCATGGTAGATTCCTCTTTAATTACACCAAATATGTTTGATTCAGGGGAATCACTAGAGATTTCCTCCACAAACTCTGTAGGCTCTACCTTGACAATTTCATCTAAATTCCTAGGGGGAGAGTTTAGGGACTTCTGGAAGCCCTGAGGCAAGATCTCTAGGGCTTGGTCCGAATTCTCTGTTTTCACAATAGTCCAGTGATAGGGAGAATTCTCCAGCAATTCTTCCTTGGCCCTTCTATCTGCGTGTAGAAGCCCTGCATCTGTTTGTAAACGTCCTGGGCTGTGCTCCTCTTTGGGGAAGACAGGAGTACAGAGAGGAGATAGTTCCTGGGGTTCCAGTTTGGGTTCCAGGACTTGAAAAGCATCATTCCCTTCAGGTAAAGGACAAGCAACGTCCAGATTGCCTTGGGTCTTATCTTCAGAGGTAGATGGTACATGAAGATTCACAGAGTTGCCAGAAACAATTAAAGGTGGGATGGAGGAAGCCACAAGGGACTGGTTTAATGGACAGGGAAAGGAAGTAGGGTTAACCAAGAGGGTGGCAATAGGAATGGTCTGGGAACTCTGGGCCACTGCTGCATTGACCGGCTGAATCACATTACAGACATTGCTAAGGCTTACAACTTTCACAGTGGTGGCGGGAACAGTGAAGATGACAGGTGCAGGGTGAATGAAGGGGGCAGGTTTCAGACAAGGAGGGGCCTTGGCCACCTTCCTCTTTGATGGTTTCCTTTTCACACATGGCTTCCGAAATTTAGAGGGGGCAAGTGAGGGCAGCATTATCTTGGGCACAAGAGCAGAGGAGAGAGGGAAGCTGGTTCTGACTTCAGGCAGTGCCAAAGAAGACTCAAAACCATGGCCTCCTGTGACTTCCAGTGTAGGGACAGCAGGCACTGTCTGGACTGGATGAGGAATCTGACCCACCATGTTACTTGGAGGGATTTCTGATTGAGTTGATCTGGCTGGCAATCTCCCAGAGTTGAAGCTAGGCTGGAGAGAAGGGCTGGGTCGGATCAGGAGGGGCTTAAGGCCTGAGGACCGCCTCTGCCTCCAAGCCTTCCTAGAGAACCTTTTGGCAACTGGCTTCAATTTGAGGACTACACCCTTAGGCAACAGCAGGGGATATCGAGCTTCACTCCCCAATTCTGAACTGCCTTCATCCAGGCCTATGTCTGGTTTGGTCTCGGGTGTTCCAGGCACATTTCCTATCCCTTCAGAGATGGACTGAAGTTCCTTCTGGATGGATGGCAAACTGGCCTGTTGGGAGCAAGAAGACTGATCCATTACAAGATATAATATGGAGTGTTTTTAAAAAAATAAAATAGGGTTTTCTAGACTAATGGAATCTTTCTAAGACCATCTCTAGACATCCTTCATGAAAGCATTTTCTGCACAATAGCAAAATCTCTACTAGGACTACGTTATAGTTTTTTGTTGTTGTTTTTATTTAATATTGATTTACTTACAAAGTTTGTTTACATTGTTTTTAACACCAAATCTTTCCCCTTTCCTTTACCCAACACTCGCTCCACCCATCAAATTGCGTGATCCTATGATTAACATCCCTACCCCACCAATCCTCACCCTTCTGTTCCCCCCATTTCCCCTTGGATCCTCATACTCTTTCAACTATAATAGTCTTACATAGTATTTGTTCTTATGGGACTGAGTTAGTTCACTTAGCATAATGCTCTCTAGTCCCTCCCAAGTTAGGTAAAAAATTTACAAAATCATTGCTTCTGCATGCTGCACAGTAGTCCATCATGTGAATGAATGTACCATAATTTCTCAATCCAATTGATGTGGCTAGACATTTGGACTGTTTACATGTTCTTGTGATGGTGAATCATGCTGCTATGAACACTGGTGTACTAGAACTAAATTAAATGCTATAGATAATCTATGAATTTCCTAGTTAGTAAAAGCTCATACATTCTTCTACATTGGAGGAGGGAATGCAGGGGAGGATGAATGAAGACTTCCTAAATCCTCCGGAAAGCCGACTGGAGGGTCAGCTACAAGTCAGTTCCAACTCACAGCAGTGAGTGAGTGAGATCTAGAACTGAAGCATTAAAGGTTTAAGGCAGCCCTGAAATTATCACCCAACTAACTTTTTGTTTCCAGATGACTTTGAAGAAATCGCACAGTCATACCTTTAACCAGAACGGGAGTCGGTGTTCTTCCCTCTCTATTGGTGGCTTCCACTGATGTGGCTGGATTTCTTCACAGCATTTTAACAAAACAGGGAGCTGTTTGGTCTTCTTATACAACTGAGCATAAACAAAGAAAATACAAATTAGACTCCTACCCAAAAAAACATTGCTGTGTATCAGGCAAGGGAGGGGCAAGTAGTAATCCAATTTTATTTTTGTTACACACACACAGAGCACATGCTGAACACTTGCATTTTCAATTAATCTGTCATTGATTGAATAGTGTGTCTCAGCCCCCAGATGGTGATACATGTATATGATGATATAATGTGGAAGCTAGGTTATCCTATAAGATCTGATAAAACAAGTAGCTGTAAAAGGATTAAAAGGGAAATTCAAAACTCCTTAATTCCATCACAGCCCTAACTGGAAGTATTGGGAATTTCTCTACACTGGAAATTTAGGTAAATTTTTAACTCAAGAGCCAAAATAGAAGAGGATAATGAGGTGAGACCCTCAGGATTACTAAGAAATAATGATCAGGAATGGAGTTCATTTTGCTCAAAGGCCCCTACATGAGAAAACTCCTTGGCACCAAACACGTTAAGACACATGGAGGTCTCCAGGGACTGCCTGGCCTAAGACATTGAAGGAAACAAGAGCTTTCATTCAGAACCGAAAAGGCAAGGGAGCTTCCCAAAAAAGGTAGTTCCTGGAATTGGCACTTCAAGCCTTCCTGTTAAATAAAGTTACTCACCTATGATATATTATATCAGCACTACATAACTAAGACAATTTCTAACCAATAACAGCATCACCTTCACTCAAATAAGGAAGCAAAAGTAATACTACAAATACCCTAGTTCTGCAGCTGTAGCAAACAGAGGCACCCACCTTAATGATGTTGTCCGGAGCTTTGCTTTGGGTCAGGTTCTTGATCCTCACAGTCAGCTGGTGAACAGTCTTGCAGGTTAGAAGGTACTTGCTGATTAGAGGCTTAGGAAGCTCAGTGCATTCAAAGTGCTTCAGTCCTAAAGCTAACAAACTGAGGAAAGAGCAGTAACATTAAAATTTTCCTTTTCTTCTATAAACCTTCCCAAACTAGGATCATATATTTTTATGCTGTTTTTTCTACATAAAAAAATTACTCAAGTTAAAGACTACTCAACTGAAAATTTCAGAAATTTATTGAATGATTACTGTGTGCACTTAAGTACTATATAGATTACAGGTTGAGTAAGTTTCAATCAGGAATTCACAAGTGGAGGGGAAAATCTGGGCATCAATAAATTTGCTAACAAATTGCTTTACCCTAGCAATGCAAATTACTAAGTCAAATCATACAAAATAAAGAGGGAAAAAATTATAAAATTAATGTTGTTGTGTATGCCTTTAAATTGACCTGGACTCATAGTTGAGCCTCCAGTGGGTTTTCAGAGGCAGTAAATCACAGGTGGGAAGGACTCAAGAGGAGGAAATTGTTCATCCTTCTCCCACAGAGTAGCTGGCAGATTCGAACTACAATACAACCCTTTGGGTACTGCAGCTTAGCTTCTTATCAGTAGGCCACCAAAGCTCCCTATCCTATAAATTGAATTGTTGTTGTGTACCACTGAGTCAGAAATGACCCACAGCTGACCCTCTCGCAGAAGTAAATCAGCATCTCAAATACCACCATGACATAACATATTCAGTAGGGCTGCATATATATCCATTTGCTGATGGCAGTTTGGCAATACATATAAAGAGTTCTGAAAATGTTCACACATCCACTATGGCTGGATCAGAAAAGCAGAAAGATAAAAAGGATTGGCAATAATGTAAAGAAACTAAACTCCAGGAGCATTACTGGTTGGAAAACAAACAGTGAAGCCTTTCTGCAAAGGAGTGTGGTGGTTCTGCAAAAATGTGAAACATAATTAGTTTCCAAATAATCTAGGGAATTCCAATCCTACCATAATACCCAAGAGACTTGACAGCAGGGGCACAAACAGATATGTGTATCAATATTCAATGCTAAATTATTCACAAAAGCCAAAAGGTAGAAGCAACCCACAAATCCATTAATAGGTGAATAAACAAAATTTGGGAGAAATATATATGTATATAACATGCCAGAGGGTGAGCGAGGGTTCGGTTCCGACTCTACAGTACACAACAATAACATGCATACATACATATACATATAAATTACTATTTGATCATAAAGAGAAATGAAATCTTGATATGTGCTAAAAAATGGGTGAATCTTGAAACCACTATATTTGAATAAAATAGGTCAGACACAAAAGGACAAATATAAATATTCCCTAGGTTATTAATGTCCAATTTATCAACATTAATTCCTGTATGACTGTTAATGTACCTATTATGCACCTCTGCTGGTGTGACAGTTAAGGCTAACCAAAAAGTTGTGGTTCAAACTTATGAACCACTCTACACAAAATGAGGCAGTCTGCTTAACAGCCTTGGAATCCTGTGGGGCAATTCTACTCTGCCTTATGGGGTTACTATGAATTAAAATCAACTCCATGCTGAGAGTTTGGGTGCTTTTGTTTGTTACACATGCAACTAAGTACTGTGTGTATACAAATGTAAGTCTCAATCAGGAGTAAATGTACTTACTCTGAAATGAGTGAACACCTACTGGCTAGAAACTCACAATCACCTTCACTTCATTTCACAGCACTTAATCAATGAACAGGCTTTGAGTCTTTTCTCACACTAAAGTAACATTAAAGGTGTATATAGCTATTCCAACTCACCTACAAACTCCACTTATAAACTTAAAAATACAGTTTGGGGGA